TTTTTCCCCCCATTTAAAACAGTCTGTTTTTAAAATCTCCTTGACTTCCTTGCCATTTGTAAGTTCTATATCTACACGGTCCCCTCTTTTTGCTCTGTAGTTGACTTCATTATACATTGATATCTCTGGTTCCCTATTTTCAGTCTTGTAGGTTTACTTTACTTTAACTGTTGCTATATCTGGATTGAGTTCCGGTGAAATGCTCATTTATGGTCATCTCAGGCTGTTGTCTGCTATTGCGTCTCAGTCCAAAGAACACCCGTTAGCATTCTTTGCAAAAATTGGTCTGGTCATTACAGATTTCTTTAATTTCTGTTGATCAGAAAATGTCTTAATTTCACCATCGTGTGTGAGGGACGCTTTGCTGGGTATTTGCTGAGTCTTGGTTGGTAGTTTTGTTTCTTTTCAGTGTTTTGTGTATGTCATCGTATTGCTTTCTTACCTGCCTGGTTTTTGCTGAGAAATCAGAGTTTACTTTTATTGGTTCTCCTTTGTAGGCAACTTTTCATTTTTTCCCAAGCTCCTCTCAGGATTCTTTCTTTGTCTTTGATTTTGAAAAGTGATTATAAATGTCTTGGTGATCTCTACCCTGTTTGGGGTTCATTCACCTTCTTTTATACTTACCTTTCTCTTCATTCATGATGTTAGGAACATTTTCTTCTGACAACTCTTCCCCAGTTTTCTCTGTGCTGTTTATTGTCTCTTCCTATTCTGTAATTCCACTCACCCATAAGTTGTTCCTCATCATGGTATCTAACGGAAGTGTTAGGCTTTCTTCAGATTTTTTTTTTTCTTTTATTTCTGATTCTTCTTCTAGCGTACTAGCATTGAGAGATTTATCTTCAAGTTCACTACTTTGGGCTTCGGTTGCTTCACATCTTCTTCTTTGCCCTTTCAATGTATTCTCCATTTCTGAAATCTTAGTATTAGTATATTAATATTAATATCTTACGGATTTCTAATTGCAAATGTTGTATTATTTCAAAATTTGCGTTTATTTTTTTCTGTTCTCATAGTGTCTTCCTGAATTCATCTAACATTTTTCTGTGCTCTCCTTGCTTTCCTTGATCTTTCTGTCAATCTGTTGAAGGTAGGAAAATATCATTATTTTGAATTATTTTTCAGTAATTTCCATTTTCTTTTTCTCCTCATAAATGTTTTCTGTCTCTGCATTTTGGTCATTGTTCTGAACCATTCTCTCATTTCTTTGTGTGAAATAAAATTGTCTGTTGTCTCTGGGGCTTTGTGGGGTTGTCATCTCTGTGAAAACAAATAGCACAATTGTTAGACCCAGAGGGGAAAAATCTCTGGGGGGCTCCTGCAATTCAAGGGGCTTATGAGGTGGTTGTGGAACGGATGGATAAGCAAATGGATAAGCAAACAGGATCCTTCAATATGCTGTCTACAAGAGACATAGCAGACTTCCTGGGGACTTGGTTTTCTTTGTGTTCAGGAAACGTCCAAAGCTGCTCACAAGATGGTCGAGTCGCATCTGACCAGCTGTTCACTAGTCAGGCTCCCTCTCTGGCTGTCTCTGTTCAGCTTCTCCTCCCAGCAAGCATTCTATCCACCTCTAACCTTTCTCCGGAAGTTCCGGGTGCCAGGGTTTTCACCTGTGTCTGTTCATTTGGTCTCTCGCATCTTTGGGTCCGTGTAGTGCATCTGCCTAGTCTGCCATCTTAACGGAAGTCCTCATGAGTATGTTTTTTAAACTATAGGTAGTTTGGGCTTTGTGGGGTTTTCCAATGAGTAGTGTTAGTATGTTGTTGTTGTTAGGGACCGTTAAGTCAAAACGGACTCATAGCGACCTTATGCACAACAGAACAAAACACTGCCCAGTCCTGGGCCAACCTCACAATTGTTGCCGTGCTTGAGCCCATTGATGCTGCCACTTTGCAAGTTCCATCTCACTGGGGTCTTCCTCTTTTTCTCTGACCCTCCACCTTACCAAACATGATATCCTTTTCCAGTGATTGGTCCCTCCTGACAATATGTCTGAAGTATGAGAGATGAAGTGTGGCCATC